ATTGCACCTTGGAAGTCAAACGGCTTCCGCAGCACATTTTTTCATTTTCACCATTCACTTTGCCTACAGCCCTTTGATTTTTGAACGTTTCGGAAGTTGAACGGACTTCCGGAACAGATTTCGCTTGAAAACCGAGGTTCCACTGTATGTACATACCTTATTTCTCATTATAAAAGATCATAGAACGAGTACAGAGCTTGGACCTCCTGGAAAGGGGTGAAATCTGACAGCATTCTTTGAAAAGGGTAGTTAGGCTGTCTACTTTTTTGGACTTAAGAATTGACACCACCATCCTTCCCATCTACAGCCCAGCTAAAGGAAGGCGTACCGTATTTCCGTCATCTGATGCTTTTTCAATCGCATTTGAGCCATTCCATTGGACAATTAAGTCTTCATTAGCCGCACACACATCTGTCTTCAATAAGGAACCTGTGGGCTGTGTGAGAAAACTTGACACAATGGGCGATTCCTTAACAATACAGTCCAATAAGGACTCTCCCATGATAGGCACATCTGATGTTTCCACCAGTAACTCCTCCACTCGCATGGCATTTTCGGCTGTGACTTCCAGTGAATCTTCTGGATCAGATTCTTCCCCCGTTCTGTACCATTCCTCCGGCCAACTCTGCATCCTGCACTGTTGCTCTGATTCTCCTTGGTCCAATAATCCCTCGTTGCATTCCTTCCACTCAGTGATAAAGGAGGAATCTTTCATTATAGGGCAAGGTCTTAGCATGCTCAATGGCGACATTTGTTTCTCCGAAGCATCTTCAAAATCTGCGCAATAAAACAAAAAATACCGTCAAATTCACGGAGAGAACCGGTGGTACTTTTCAGGTGTGCAGGATTAAAGGTGGTTCTCGTGCTCTCTGTAAGGCAGCTTCTAAAGTGAGACAGCAGTTTGAAATTCTCAATCCAGTGATTTAATCCAATATTGCCTCTCATCTTTTTGGGGGCCCCATTTGTGATTTTTAAATTTTTTAAAAAAATAATAGTGCTAGGTTGAGCAATGTGGACTAGTAACAAACTACTGAGGCTTTGCAGTACTAGTGCCTCTTTAATTAGAAGCTTTTTCACAGCTTGTACAATTGTAATTATTTCCTTTCCATGAAAGGATGCAGCATTACTGAATTGTCCTTAATTGGCCTTTAATTGCTCTATTTGCTTTCCCTGCCAAAGAAGGATAATTATTGGTTTTCTCTTTGGAGCCAAAACAATTGCTTTCTGCTTTTTTTAATTCAACTTTTTATGAGCTAAACTGATGGGCAATTTAGAGACTACACTGGAAGACTTCTAAAATATAGGACACTATAGTAGGATCTTGGTTGTGAGGAGATATATTGCCAAGTAAGACAGTGGTATTATTTGGGTTGCCAACAGCAATCTTACATTAGATGCTCGAGCTACTCTTGCCAACAGGAGGACTATCTTAACAGAGCAATGCTTTGCAATCATTTTTGAGACAGTACAGTTCAGCACTGTGGTACATATCAGGAATTTTTACATGACCAAGCCTCACCTCTTGTATTAGCCATGCTAATAATCACTGTCATGTATAAAAGAATATTTCCATAACCAAAAGTGCTCATGTACCTGCTGTGTCATGTGAAAGAAGGGATCAGGCTAGTCATTCAAGAGTTCAAGCACCTATTGCTTCATTTGATCTAGTTAAAAAAGGGCACATACCATATGTGAAATCTTCAAACATCAGCTCAGAATGATGGTCTTCTTTGTAGAGTGTGCAGTCAAGTCCACTCTTCCTCATTGAATCCTGCACTTCATTCTGGAATAATAATTTTTTAAGAGTCATTAATAACCTTTGCAAGTGACACGAGGTTTAGGACATCAGGACCTCAACAGCAATAAAATGAGCTGCCCTTGAAAACTGTTCAGAATCTTCCAACTAGTTCATAATGCACTGACCAGATTAAAAAAAAACTTTATTAAATCATACACATGCATACACACTTACATAAAATAGCATAATGCATACATAATAAATATAGATAATAAAGAAACAACGGCAGAAGTTGAGAGTAAAGATGACGTGAAGAGTCACTGAGAGGAAAAATAGCGGCAGTTTTAAACAATGGCAGAGGTTTGGGTAGAGTGAGCAGGGTGTGACACTGAGGGGAGTGTGGAAGCTTGAAACAAAGTTTGAGTACAGCAAGAAAGAAGATGCTGTGCTGCATTATCCTTTTGATGTCAGCTTCTGAGTTGTACTCGTCTCTGCTACTTCTACTGGTTAAAAGTTATTTGTTTTTCAAACCAAAACCAGACCCAGTGTTCCATCCCTGCTTTACCCAAACCTCTGTTGTTTAAAACCAGCATTTTCATCTCAGTGAGCCTTCACCAGGGGCGAACGAAGGCGTCGTGACACCCAGGGCGGGGCGTCGCTACATAGGGCGCATGTGTGGCATCACTATGTACGACACATGCGCCGTACGTAACAACGCCGCACACGCGCTGTACATAGCAGTTTGCCAATGGCGGCGCTCCAGCACCATACAGACAGTGCCGGGATCCTCCGTTCGTGGCTGTAGCGGCGACGGAGTGTTCCCACCGCCGTCCGTACGGCACTCAAGCGGCGCCAGTGGCAAACCGGTATGTACAGCGCATGTGTGTGATGCCACACATGCGCTGTACATAACGGTTTGCCACCAGTGCTGGGATCCTCTGCTGGCAGCTGCAACGGAGGGTCCTCCACATGTGACAGCACGATGGCTGCTCGCGCCTTCTTGTCACCCCCGCAGACATGGCACCCAGGGCGCACCACCCCCTGTTGCAATGCCACTGGCCTTCACCCCGCTTTACTCAAACTTGAGACCTGCTCAGTTGGTTTTCATACATGTGCCACCCCCCCCCCCGTCTCCTCTCCTCATAGACTTCTAGCATATCAAGGGCAATAATGGTGGCTACCACCCAAACAACTACATTCCTAAGCTGCCAAGAGAGAGTACAAGCGATGATTCAAAGAGCACATACTTGGGAGATCTCTGAAGCTGTGCTGCAGCTTTCTAGGTCCAAATAAATGTTGCTGGTGGAAACAGGGTTTACTACTTCACTCATGATAGTTAAAGGCTCCCAGGTGCAAAAAGAAATCCTCCTCTGATGTGCCGATTCCTAAAGAAACATAAGATTATTTTCAGTACCTTAGACACGGTTAAAGCATCATACGCAGCCTAAAACCTATGCATGTCTACTAAGGCATAAAACAAAGCAGAGGCGATTGTACGATTGCACAACCGGTTCATTCGCACTGGGCTGCGCCACCACAACAATGCAGGACAGGCAGAAGTAGTTAGAAATCAACCAAAGCAAAGGTCTAAATGCCAAATTGCTCACAGTTTTCCGGATCCATGGAGATCGCCCCAAGTTTCGCCCGAGAGGAGGCTGCAACTTGCTTCCTCGATGCCCCGATCTCCTCTGAAGGGGCTGTTGACAGTTTCTTGTTCGTAAAAGCGCACGTGGCCAAAGGCGCGCCAACGTCACAAAGAATCTTAAGCCCCCGCAGCCGCTCCATTTGCAAAGAGGAGAGGAGAGCGCGCAGTTTTAAGAATAAACACCGCACTTCTCTCGCCGGGCATAATGTGTGCAAGCGCAACCCGATCCTCCTTATGCTTCCGTGGAAGTCCTCAAGTTAGGCTCCCCCCCCCCCCTGTGTACAGTGTGCAAACGGACCTAGTGAACTCCATGAAAACCTGAAAAGGACCAAGCTGTCAGTTCCGGAAAAATAACGAAGCATGGGATCACCTGCCAGTCCCTGTGCTCAGACGAGCCGCCTAGGATCGACACAGGGCTTTGGGTGCCGAGAAAGGGTAGAGACCGAACATATAGCGGAATAATAAGAACATAAACGGAGCCTGTTGGATCAATGGCACATCTAAGTCCAACACCCTTGTCTCATAGCGGCCAACTGGATGCATGCGGCAAACCTGCAAGCAGTCGGCCAGCAGTCTAAGGTTATTGTTGTTGTGGTTGCTGTTGTTCCGCCTTTCATCAAAAGATTTCAGGGCGGTTGCAATCCCAACCCCATTTACCAGGGAGTAGGTCCCACTGAATTCGCCCTGGCTGGCAGATTCCGAGCAGACACGTGCAGAAAAAATCTTGAGTTCAGAAAAGAAATTAAAAGATTCAACCCGGAGCCGGACTGGGTCTGATCAGAGTGCGCATCTTCCTAACTCCGGATGCGTTTAATGCATCGAAGTGCATCTCGCGCAAATGGTTCAGGGGCCGGGGGCGCAATGCTATGCGATGCGCGCGCCCGCCCGGCTCTCCATCCACCCCTCTCCGCGCCGAAGCGAAACTCCTTCCCTCCCTCCGTGGCTGGCTCCGATCCTCTTCGCGATCCTCCCCTTCCCCTCGATTGGGCAGGCGCCGGCAGCGACGGGCGCCCGGATTGGCGCGAGGGAGAAGGGGAGGAGGAGAAAGAGGGCTGGACTGAGCCCTGCGGAGCCGGGCAGCGTGTCGGCGGAAGGAAAGGTAGGCCTGGGCAGCAGGAAACGGGCGGCGGGGTGGGAAGAAACAGCGGCTAGGGCGCCGGGGGAAAGGGAGAGGAGGCCTGGCCAAAGGGGAGACGCAAAACCGGAGCGGGGCTTGGCGTGGACCTTTGCAGGGACGCGGACTTAGAAAAAATATTGGGGGGGCCCGGGAAAGCTCATGAATAATAAATAAGCTCATGAATATGCAAATAAAGTGGCTCCGGCCCTAAATAGGGCAAGCCACGCCCCCCCAGCCAGCCGATTGGCTGGCTGGGAGGTGTGGCCAGTCGGGATTCCCCTGTTCTCGCGGGATTTCCGGCCGGGGCTCTCCGATTAGGGCGCGCGGCTGGCTGGCTGGCGAAGGAGCAGGTGGGGAGGAGGCGGGGGACGGCGGCGGCGCTCTGCTGGAAGGGCGCCCGCCCGAGATTATTGGGGGGGCTGAGCCCCCCCAAAAATTTTTTTGAGGGGGCTCCAGCCCCCTCAAGCCCCATGGAGTCGGCGCCTATGGACCTTTGTCCGAAAGCAGCGCTCGCTGCAAGAGGCCTGGGCGGCGAGTGCGCTTTTGCGCATCTTCCCTTGCTGGCTGCTGCGGGCGCCGCGTTGGGGACCCCGGAATAGAGCGTACAGAGGTTAGGGGCGTACATTTTCGGACCTGGTTAAAAGGCAGGCTGCCTCCTATAGTTTGTGCTACCTCCTGAGTAGCCGGAGGTGAAGTCTAGCCTGGCGCGATCTTCTGTAGGATGTACACGCAGGATGTTGCTCTGTTGAGACGTATAATTTCCACGCTCCGTGCGAGTCCCCAGGCGGGGTTGTAGTCAAGTGTGCTGTGTGAAATGATCTGGAATAGTTGCACTCCTGGTTCTGTGCTCTATAGACTTAGTTGAGCAGTGTTTCTCAAACTTGGGTTCCTAGCAGTTGTTGGATGGTGGGTAAGGGTTCTAATCTTCAGCCTGCCAAACCCTGGAGATGGGTATTTGACTGGTTAAAAAGGGTTATGGTCAAATAATGGTCAAGTTCGTTAATGGCACCACCTCCAGATGACCTGTTTATACTGATTTGCTTGCGCAAATATTATTCCGAGTTATGGAGTATTTGCTCTGGCTTCTTAACAGTTCTGCAACGATGAGCATTCGCTCTAATTTGCTTCTGGAGTACTTACACGTCTTCCCATTGAATTGGTTCATCTCACACTTCCCAGTGTAATTTCACCATCCTTTTCCTAATCTCAGAAAATCTTGTTTTTGTTTTTAGGGGATTGGACGGAGCACTTCAATCCGCTTTAATTGTTCAAGTCTAAATTCCCAGTATGTGCTTGAATCCTTCCTTCCAGAACAAGAACAATTGTTTTTATTTCATTTATTTACTATTTCATCATTCTTATAACCAACCCTTCCTCCCATAGGGAGGATGGCTTACAAGAATAGTAAAAAAGCTAGCAATGCTAAAATCGTAATAAAACAGCCTTAACACAACAATCGGACAACAATCAGTTATGGAATATTGTAACAGGTTGAGCCTACTACTTGGATGAGTACAGCACGCACACCACCCACCCACTCGCAATATATAGTGTGTAAAACATTGTCTTATTGTCCAATAATATTTTACAGGAAGTGGATCAGGGTTGTGTGCATTGGAGATCTTCTACTAGCCGCAATGAATTACAGGGTGAAAATTATGAGCAAAATAGTTCCGGGGCAATTTGATGATGCGGAATCTTCAGACAGGTAATGGAACAATAGAATTGTCAAAGTGATTTTCAGATGGTGTGAAAGAACAGAGCTCCACAGAGTCATCTTTCCAGAAAGGCTGCTTGAAGTATGGGGAGAAAAAGAGTAGCAATGTGATGTTGACACAGAAGAGCAACAGAACATTTGGGGGTATTTTTTCCTTCCTTTTCCTAACCTGCCGTAGGTTGGGCCCAGTTATGAAATGTGATTTTGTCAAGAGTATGTTTCTGGTATGGACTTGCTGGGTTGGCTTCAGTTATAGGCAGTTTTTACAAAAGCTGCCATATCTTGTTTACAGTATCCAAGGCCTAATAATCAATCGTGCTTGTACTTTCGTTCCCAGTTCTTCTTGCTGGATTTCTCGTGCATCTCCATTCATACAGAGAGGGGTATCTATGATCCGATAATGTTATTTATAAGACTTTCAGCTAATTCACTTATCAATAAGGAAGATGCACAGAAATTTAGACCGGCATGGATAAGTAGCCGAAATATGTAACTGCCACCAATGCTGTCCTTCCCAGTAGTCAAGTGCCAACCTAGATAACTTCACAGTAGCACTTTCTTTTAAAACGCAGATCAAATGAGAGGAAGGGAGGGGATGGAATCCAACAACCAAAGAAACACTGAATCGTATTACAGTAAAAAAAAAAAAAAGTTTCAAAGCTGTATTTCTCTTTTATTGTCTACGATATCTGTAATAATAATATACAGGATAAATCTATTTTGTTTCTGCCTACTTGAGAGCCAGTGTGGTGTAGTGGTTAAGAGCGGTAGTCTCCTAATCTGGGGAACCGGGTTCGCGTCTCCGCTCCTCCACTTGCAGCTGCTGGGTGACCTTGGGCCAGTCACACTTCTTTGAAGTCTCTCAGCCCCACTCACCTCACAGAGTGTTTGTTGTGGGGGAGGAAGGGAAAGGAGAATGTGAGCCGCTTTGAGACTCCTTAAAGGGAGTGAAAGGCGGGGTATCAAATCCAAACTCCTCTTCTTCTCTTCTACTTGCAAACTAAATTGAGTTATAGTAAAAGTTCAGAACTAATACACCCTACCTCAAAATTTCATCGGTTTCAACACCACCAATAGCCCTTTTCAGAAGTTGCTCGTGCACATACAGCCTGCAGAAGAGGTTGTTGGGTCATGCTGCCTGACCCTGACACCCATGCGCTCAGTGTGGGTGTCTGCAAAAGAAAAGCATGGACACATTGCTGCAAGACTGAGAACCCTCTTCATGTAGCGTTTCCAATCATGTGAAAGCATATTCGCATAGTAGATGTGCCTACGCCCATCTTTTACAGATGTGGGCATTGGAGGCATGGATATAGGAAGTTGCCACATACTGAACAGGATCATTCGTTCCTCTAGCGCAGTATTTTCTGCACTGAACAGCAACAGCTCTCCAGGGTTTTAAACTGGGACGTTTTCTGGAGATGCCTGGGATTGAACCGCAAAGCGGATGCTGTACCACTGAGCCTTAGAGTCCTTGCAGAGGCATTTCCCCCACAGTCTTCCAGGGGCAGGGTTTGCTGAGCATGAACCTTGGAAAGGCTTGCAAGTCGCCTTGATCCTTGTCACCCTTCTTGTACACAAGAGGGGCAAGGGGGAATCTCCCAGGTGTGACACTGAGCCTCAAGGAAGCTTGGGAAGGTAGTCAGTGAACTTACCTGGGACGGCTAACAGCAAAGCAGCAATTAATCTGTGGTCCAAGGTACTATTTCAGTATAATAATAATAATACTGATGATGATGATTATGACAGGGAGCTAGTTGTACTGTGTTGCTGGCTTTGTGCAACTTGATGTGTTTATCATGATTTTACTAAATATGTGCTTTTAAAATACATACGTTAGCGAACGCACACAGGCTTCGGAAGCAGCTGAAGAGGAGAAGGCGGTCTTTATAACGCAGCAGCCACGTTTATGTGAGGAAGCAGACGAGGGTGAATTGGATGAGAGTGGCGAGGAGGAGGAGGACAGCGATTGGGACTGGGACGATGCCATGGGGAAGCTCACAAAGCGAAATCCGTTATCTGCAGGCAGAAACCCTCAGGTATGTTCAAGGAATGTGTGGCTTGAGGGTGCCAACTTGTTGTTGCTCTTAAGTGAGTTTTTAGACGGACTCAGGTTTAGATCTTAGCTGCACCTGCAGGGATGATAGGTATTGTAGTCCAACAACCTTTGGAGGGAAGCAGGTTTGCTGCCCCTGGACTGGACAACCTCCAAGGTCCTTTTTAACCCCATTTTCTGTAACTCTGTAATGAGGGATCTGGAGTGAGTTGCAGCATCGCACGCTCCCTCTTCCTCTGGTGCAAATATACCCCTCCGTCCCAGGCATAACCATGGTTAAAGTGTTTATCAGAGCTTGACTTCACATGCTGATTGGGCTTTTGTACCCAGGTGGATGGTCTGTGAAATTTGCATGAGAAGGGACGGGTTGTGCAAGCATGATGTCCGGATTGTATAGCTCTGGTTATGAGATCGGGAGTATCATTGTGTGACAGGGTTTCTTTTTTTGTGTTTTTGATTCAGGCCAATAAGCAAATTCCTAGCTGCAACGCGGCCAAAATGTCCACTCCTACAGACAAGGCCTTAAGAAAGTTTGAGAATAAAATCAATCTAGGTAAGAGCAGTCATTCTTGTTTTCTAGAAATAGGTATTTGCTAAGGACCGTGCCGTACAGCCATATTTGCTGGGTTGAAGTTGGTGAATCCGTGTGTGTCACACTCCCTAATATAACTCATCAGCATGAGTTTAAGAACTGCAGACAGGCACACAGAGCCTGGAAATGTGTTCCTCATGCTCTGTGCTGCTGCCTGCCTACACCTTTGAGAACACCCCCCCCACCAGCTCATGCAAGGGGCACAGGACTTGATCAGCTGTAGGGCTGGCTGATGTATCTCGGTGAGGAGGAAGAAAGGGTCGAGATACATTCCAGAATCAGAAATATATCAGCATATCATGGTATTTAGCTGCTGATATATCACAATGCTGAAAACCAGCCCTGCTTGAAAAGACTATACAGTGGTACCTCGGGTTACAGAGGCTTCAGGTTACATACGCTTCAGGTTACAGACTCCGCTAACCCAGAAATAGTACCCCGGGTTAAGAACTTTGCTTCAGGATGAGAACAAAAATTGTGCTCCGGCAGTGCGGCAGCAGCAGGAGGCCCCATTAGCTAAAGTGGTGCTTCAGGTTAAGAACAGTTTCACGTTAAGAACGGGACCTCCGGAATGAATTAAGTTCTTAACCCGAGGTACCACTGTACTGTAATGGTAACCATTGGGTGGCCGCGGTGGGGGGGGATTAACTTGATATTTTTCTTTTTAAGCTATTCTTTTTTAATCATATTTTCTGTGTAGCACATGGCACACTATGGCTGTCATAGGACAGGGATGCTGTGGCCCTCCAGATGTTGCTTAACTACAACTCCCATCATCCCTGATGATTGGTTACACTGGATAGGGTAGATCAGCTCTCCAACAACATTGGGAGAGCTACAAGTTCTCTCATTCTGATACAGCCCATTCTCCTCTGTCTGCACGACAGCAGGTATCACTGAACCCTCCTCCATTTGCAGGTCCTGCATCCCACAGCACACCCTTAGTTACTTCTGGAGCAAACCTTAAGTTCCTTTGGCCACAGGGAGAGAGAAGGAAGTTATTCGTACCAGATTTCTTCAACACCCCAGTATATTCATGGCTATGTGAGAGCAATGTAATACACATCTCTTTTGTGTGCCATTGTCTGAAACCTTAGGAGGGTGTTGGAGGCGTCTCTGAGAGACTGGCCTAGTTCTCTGTATTGTTCACTTCCTGCTGAAATAGCAGGCCTGAAACTACAGTGGTACCTCTGGTTACTTATTAATTTGTTTTGGAGGTCCGTTCTTAACCTGAAATTGTTCTTAACCTGAGGTACCACTTTAGCTAATGGGGCCTTATGCTGCCGCCGTGCCACTAGTGCACAATTTCTGTTCTCATCTTGAGGTAAAGTTCTTAACCTGAGGTACTACTTCCGGGTTAGCGGAGTCTGTAACCTGAAGTCTTTGTAACCTGAGGTACCACTGTACTTGCATTTAAATGATTTTTGGACTAAAAAGAAGCCAAATGTAGTACCTTTGTTGTGTGTAATGGCTTTATTTTACAGACATTGCAACAAGGACATTTTTCTTGATGTGTCTTGAATAAGGAGTGTGACACATTTTCAGGCTGCAGAGTCAGAAACTAGTTTTAAATTGAGAAGTGTGGGTAGGCGAAAGAGGAATGTATTGGTGTTAATTTCCTTATATGTGTGTGTTTTCCCCTCTTCAAGACAGGCTACACTTTGCTGACTCTGTTATAAATAAAGTTACTGAGAAGTCCAGGCAGAGAGACGCAGAAATGTAAGTAGTGAGGATGACCCATTTGTATTTCAGTATTATCCAAATGAAGTGTAGTGGATCATGAAATTCCTTTGTTTTCACTAGGTACCGGGTGAAAGACAAGTCAGACCGAGCGACAGTGGAACAAGTAAGTCACACAAAGTATCAGACAGTTGCAAAAAAAATCTCCATTTAAATAAAAATCAAGAGTCCTCACCTTTTTAAAAAAGCTAACTGACGTAATAAAATGATTCAACCACATTTACTCATAAGTAAGTCCTGAAGAATTCTTTGGTGGGTGTCCATAGCTCTAGTTTTTAGTGTGCTATTGTCTTTCACTTTTGCTTAATATTGGTATTAACTTACTCCATTTTAATCAACCATTTTTACTGTGATTTATTGCTTGGATTAACATAACACTTAGCTCCTAAGAAAAACCAATGCTCTTAGCTCTCTTTGTGTTTTTATTATTTTATATAATCTCTTATATGCAAGAATTTAGACAGGACCAATAAATGCAAGAGAAAAGTTTATGGACAGCAGTTCCAAATAATGCCATTTCATAGGGCTGTTTTGTTGCTTTCCTGAGGTTCTGGATCCAAGGACTAGAATGATTCTGTTCAAGATGCTAACCAGAGGTGTCATATCGGAGATCAATGGCTGCATCAGCACAGGAAAAGAGGTTGGTTTCACAGCAAAAAGAGCCAGCTATAGTAAGCTGTTTAGTCTAATGGTTTTAGACCAAAAAGAGGGTCCCAATTAAACACACAACACATTTTCAAAATATAAATAAAAACCAAATTAGTTCAAACTCAAGTTATTATATAAGCGGCAGACAATTATACAGTATAAACATGCAAAGACAATGGAGAGGTTGTACACTACACTAAACAATGTTTTAGTGTTACGATGGTGAGCTGCAGTTGTGTGATTACTTCCTTCTACTTTCAATCAATGCTGTGAGAAGGTTAGAAGCTGAATCCTGGTAATTGTAATACAGAACATAATGTAATCCAGCCTATGAATTCTGAGCTTTAAAAATAATTACCTTTTGGAGGGTCAGATCCAGCTTGCAAGCTGCCAGTTAGAAGTCCCTGTGCTAGATGATTGATCTTATTTACCATATTTTTCCGTGTGTAAGACTAGGTGTTTTTCCTTTAAAAAAATGTCAAAAATTAGGGGGTGTCTTATACACGGGGCCATCTCCCCCCATTTTCTTAAATCTGAGTCCCCCAAAATAGGGGGTGTCTTATACATGGGGGCGTCTTATAGATGGAAAAATACGGTAATAAGTGGGTTTGGTATGTACAGCAGTGTAGCAGAACAGGATTCATTTCGTGAGAACTTTACATCCATCTTTATTATTTTCATGAGAGGAATCTTGTTCTGTGTGCTTCATTCAAATTGTGTGCATCATTGGCGCCATGGTTTGCACATGCATGCAGAAGTATGCAGGTATGCCCCCACCTGCCTCTCCTGTTCATGATCCAAGTGTTTGGGGACTGAAAATGTAAACAGAAATTTGGTTCTACGCAGGTGCCTTCTGGAATAGGGCTGTACAGGTACAGTGGAACCTCGGTGTTACGTACCGTCCTCCTTGCGAACACTTCGGGTTATGAGCTCTGCTAACCTGGAAGTAGATGCTCCAGGTTGCAAACTTTGCCCCGGGATACGAGAGCAAGTTGTGTGGCGGCGGCAGCGGGAGGTGCCATTAGCAAAAGCGCACCTCACTTTAAGAACGGTTTCGGCTTAAGAACGGACCCCGAAACGAATTACGTTCGTAACCGGAGGTACCACTGTACTGACCTGTTAGCCTTGTATTTTGGCCAGCTTAGTCCTTAATAACCTGTTTTTTGTAGACCAGGTAGGCAGTAGAACCTATTGGTTTCTTGGGCTGCTTTTAGCTTGGTGGATTAAGTAGACTTTTGTAGTATAGGATCTCCTTGGATTGTACAGTGGTACCTCGGGTTAAATACTTAATTCGTTCCAGAGGTCCGTTCTTAACCTGAAACTGTTCTTAACCTGAAGCAGCACTTTAGCTAATGGGGCCTCCTGCTGCCACCACGCTGCCAGAGCACGATTTCTGTTCTCATCCTGTAGTAAAGTTCTTAACCTGAGGTACTATTTCTGGGTTAGTGGAGTCTGTAACCTGAAGCGTATGTAACCTGAAGCGTATGTAACCTGAAGCGTATGTAACCCGAGGTACCACTGTAATCTTAAAACTGTGGGGGTTTTTTAGCAACAGGGTCTTTATCCTTGAATAAAGATCAGATGATACAGAACTTGATACATTTTTGTTTTGCCCATTTGCAATTTGCTAGGCTAATGTATATCATGCCAACACAGCAAATGGAGAGAACAGAGCCATAAAGATTTATAAAACGTCTATACTGATGTTTAAAGATCGGGATAAGTATGTGAGTGGAGAGTTCAGGTGAGTCTGAGATTTAAATTTTTACTTATGTGTGCAGGCTTACTTGACGTTTTCCTTTTTTTTTTTTATTAAATAAATTTTTATTAATTTTCCATAAGTAAAAAAGAAAACAAAGTAAAAACATAGATAAACACAAAAACGACTTCCCCGTACCACCCCTTTTCTGCATTCTTGTTTCAAGATTTTTCAGCAACCCTTTCGTATTAAACTTATTTCTATTTCGTAAATTTAACTTCCATAAGATAATAAAACAACTGTAGTTCTTTATCTCTTATTACCCTGATCCTCTAATTTTCCAAATTACAACAGTTTTTAAGATAAACTTTAAATTTGTTCCAGTCTTCATCCACCGCCTCTTTCCCCCGGTCTCGGATTCTGCCAGTCATCTCTGCCAGTCCCATATAATCAATCACCTTCGTCTGCCATTCTTCCAACGTGGGTAGATCTTGTGTCTTCCAATACTTTGCTAGAAGGATTCTTGCTGCTGTTGTAGCATACATAAAAAATGTCCTATCCTTCTTTGGCACCATTTGGCCCACCATACCCAGGAGAAAGGCTTCTGGCTTTTTATTAAAAGTTCTCTTCAGAACTTTTTTAATTTCATTATAGATCATTTCCCAGAAAGCCTTAATCTTCGGGCAGGTCCACCAAAGGTGATAGAAGGTTCCCTCCGTTTCATTACACTTCCAACACTTGTTATTGGGCAGATGATAAATCTTTGCTAACTTAGCCGGAGTCATGTACCACCTGTAGATCATTTTCATAATGTTTTCTCTTAAGGCATTACATGCCGTAAATTTAACACCAGTGGTCCATAACTGCTCCCAGTCAGCAAGCTCAATGTCATGCCCTATATCCTGTGCCCATTTAATCATACTAGATTTCACCATTTCATCTTGAGTATTCCATTTCAACAGCAAGTTGTACATTCTTGACAAGTTTTTAGTATTGGGTTCTAACAGTTCTGTTTCTAGTTTTGACTTCTCCACTTGGAAGCCTTTCTTTCTGTCCTGTTTGAATACTTCATTTAACTGTCGATAATGTAGCCAATCTCTCACCTTAAACTTCAGTTTCTCGAAACTCTGCAATTTTACTTTTTCACCATCTTGTTCTATCATTTCAAAATATTTAGGCCAATTAGAACCCATATTCAATTTTTTCACCTCTTTTGCCTCCATTGGTCTTACTTGACGTTTTCCATAACAATAATTTCCATGCTGGGTTTTTTTTTTATAATTACATTTGGCTGTTGTTGTTATCTCAAGGTTTCGCCATGGCTACTGTAAAGGAAACCCAAGAAAAATGGTCAAGACGTGGGCAGAAAAAGAAATGAGGAATTTAACAAGGTGACCTTTTTTCAAACATTTGGCCAAGACTTTGTTCCCATACGCCAGCTTTCATCAGCCTGGTGCCCTCCAGCTGTTCCAGCCCACAACAGCCATCAGGCACACAGAGTTGTAGTCCAGAACACCTTTGCAAAGGCTGCTATGCTCCATTTTGTAGTGGATCAAATGAACATTTTAATGGGCTCCCTTGGGAAATTAAAATAGAATCCTAGGGTTTGAAGAGACGAGAATTTTGCTAACCCCAGTCCCTTCTCCCATAGATGAACATTCCCATTTCCCCAAAAGTCATGCTTACCTTTCTGACAGATAAATGGAGTCTTTTTTGTGCTATAACTATTAATGGGCCTTTATTTTTTTACACTTAGAACATTTTAGTAAGTGTTACAAGTGTTTTTTTTAAAAAAAACCCTTCATGCTGGATAATATCATTTTGGGGGCCTTTTTTTTGTAGGTTACATACAGCCCAAATTCCATGCCCAGAACCTATTATGCTCAGAAGTCACGTTCTTGTTATGAGCTTTATTGGCAAAAATGACATGTAAGTATACTCAGAAACTTTGTCCGTCTTTGTGTATTTCTTTATATAAAGAAATCACTTTATTAGCAATTCAGTCCTGTATCCAGTCAGAAGCAAGTCCATAGCTCTGTTACTGAGTTTTCTCATCTATCTATCTCAAAAAAATGCTCTTGTATTGTCATGTAGTTCAGACAGGGCTGCCTCATCATTGCTGGGGGGGGGGGAGCCTAAATAATAAACATCTGAAAGCAAACGGGGAGAAAAATAATATAATTTGTTAGATGCAAATGACTGATACAATTCATTAGATGTGAATACAGTGGTACCTTGGTTTTCTAATGTAATCTGTTCCGGAAGACCGTTCAAGTTCTGAAATGTTCAAACACCGAGGCGCAACGGGTGGTCTGCAAATTTAATAAACAAATATGAGAAAAATAACATATGCACTCAGCGGGAGCCGCGTGGCATGTTCGACTTCCGAGGCGGGTTAGAAAACCAAAGCGTTTACTTCCGGGTTTACGGCGTTCGAAAACCGAAACATTTGTCAACAGAGATGTTCGAAAACCGAGGTACTACTGTACATACTTGATTAGCTTACCCCACCCGTTAGAAATTACATTAGTATAAGCAAATACAAAAAACACATGTGCAAAGGAAATGAGAGAGATGTCTACTGAAATAAAACAAATAGTGATAATAATAGTAACTGTGATAGATAGATAGATAGATAGATAGATAGATAGAAGACGCCATAGAAGGGAAAAAAGGAAAGAAGAAGAAAAAAATAGAGGAAGGGAGGGGAATAGGTGTGTGTTTGTGTGGGCATGTGTGTATAATGCAGTGGAGAGTTATTCAGAAGTCAGGTGCAGTGGTACCTCGGGTTAAGTACTTAATTCGTTCCAGAGGTCCGTTCTTAACCTGAAACTGTTCTTAACCTGAAGCACCACTTTAGCTAATGGGGCCTCCTGCTGCTGCCGCGCCGCCGGAGCCCGATTTCTGTTCTTATCCTGAAGCAAAGTTCTTAACCTGAAGCACTATTTCTGGGTTAGCGGAGTCTGTAACCTGAAGCGTATGTAACCTGAAGCGTATGTAACCTGAGGTACCACTGTATTTGAAAATAGGTTACAAGGGGAGGTGTTTGACCCTTTCTTCCAATAGCTTATGCCTCCGAATACCAGTCTCTGAGAATTGGGGAGAGTGCTGTAACACTCTGGTCCTGTTTATGAGCTTCCCATGGACATTTGGTTGGCCATTGTGGGAAATGGGACATTGGACTCGATGGGCCTTTGGCCTGACTCAGCAGAGCTCACATTCTGTTAGCCAAAGTGGGTATGGTATTGGAGAAGGAGGAGGACAGCTGTTGATTATATTCTTGTGTTTTTTGTTCTCTCTCCCCCTTTCCTTTTGATCCAAGGCCTGCTCCATTGTTGAAAAATGCCCAGTTGTCGGAATCCAAAGCTCGGGAGTTGTATCTGCAAGTCATACAATACATGAGAAGAATGTACCAAGATGCCAAGCTCGTTCATGCAGATCTCAGTGAATTTAACATGCTGTACGTTTTAAAGAAGCTGAACGTTGATACTTCTTTCATCCGTATATGTTACCTTGCACAACTCTGCCCTGGAGCTAGGGTGTTGTCCTCCTGGCTTCACAGCCTGTGAATTTGATAGATGCTTTGTGCCATTGTTACACAAGAGCTCTTTAAAAATTGGTGCAGTTTCCAAGAAACAAAATAAAAAATGAAAAGCTGAATTTATCCTACAATATGGGGTCAAATGTAAATGAGCTTCTATTCTCCTTTTTTCCTAAAACCATTTTGGGGGTTCAGTGAAGGTTGGCTATCTTTCTGCAGTACAGTGGTGCCCCGCAAGATGAACGCCTCGCAAGACGGAAAACCCGCTAGACGAAAGGGTTTTCCGTTTTGGAGGCGCTTCGCAAAACGAATTTCCCTATGGGCTTCCTTCGCAAGACGAAAGCCCATAGGGAAATCTCCGGGACAGCAGGGAAGCGCAGCGCGTCTTCCCCACTGTCCTCGGACCTCCTCCGAAGCCTGGCGGTGGGGCGGGGGCACCTCCTCCCGCCGCCCGGCTTCGGAAGGATGCTCCGAAGCCGGGCGGCCGGGCGGGAACACCGCCTCCCGCCGCCCGGCTTCGGAAGGATGCTCCGAAGCTGGGCGGCGGGGCGGAGACACCTCCTCCCGCCGCCCGGCTTCGGAAGGCTGCTCCGAAGCCTGGCGGGGGGGCGGAGAGACCTTCTCCCCGCGCCAGCCTTCGGATGGCTGTCCTGAAGACTTGGGGTGGGAGGAGGGTTTTCTTTCCCACCGCCAACATTCAGAATGCTGTTCTGAATGTTGGCGGTGGGGAGGAAAAACCCTCCTCCCACGCAAGCCCCGGGAACAGAGGAAAAGCGCTGCGCGCCTTCCCCTCTGTTCCCGTACCTGTCCTGAAGGCTTGCGGTGGGGAGAAAAGCCCTTCTCCCCACCGCCAGCCTGGCAAGCGGTTTCCATAGGAACGCATTAATTGATTTTCAATGCATTCCTATGGGAAACCGTGCTTCGCAAGACGAAAAACTCGCAAGAAGATAAAACTTGCGGAACGAATTAATTTCGTCTTGCGAGGCACCACTGTATAAAAATAAATATGTAGAGCAAGAGATGCAATTGGACTTAGATCAAGCATCTTTTGCCATCCTAAGATTCAGGTGTTTGACATGCCCCTCCGTCTCGGTTTCCAAGGTTTCCCTAAAGTTAAAACCTTGGTCAAGTATCTTTCATAAGTCTATATCCAGCTTTTCATGGATCTTAAAGACACCTCTGGCATCTGTGTTTAGATTCTTCTGCCTCGCCTTCCTTGGTACGCATGCTTATGGCGAGAAATAAGAATTGAGATTAAGAAAATAGCTAAAACACATTGATCAGCCTTGTATCTTCTGATCTGCCCTCAGCTTTCAAGTAGAAAAAAATAATAAAATAATAATCATTAAATGCATTTTAATTTAAGTAAACAAAACAGTCGTAGGGCATACAGTGGCCTTATTTTGCAGAAATGACTTGTGCTTTACATTAGCTGAAATTCTAATGACCTCCCTCTTTCACCCTAAGTGGTAGAACGTTCCGTGAAAAGTCTCTAGTAAACTTTCAGAAACAGCAGTACTAACGATAGCATCATGTTGCTTATTCCCACTTCTCCAGGTATCACAGTGGTGAGGTATACATCATAGACGTGTCCCAGTCTGTGGAACACGACCACCCACATGCTTTAGAATTCCTGAGGAAAGATTGCTCTAACATCAATGGTGAGTTCCAGCTAAGGAACATCAACATCCTGGATATCTTGAATATTTTTGTGCGCATGATTTAATCCCCTGTCACTTGACAGATTTGCATGCATGGATCTGATCCCGATTGCTCATACATACAATGTTGAATGGGCGCTGGTGTAAATTTTCCTGCAAATTAAAAATGTTACTGAGTTATCTCGAATGATATTTTGACTCGGATATGCTTTGGAGATTGGTTGCTTCAACATCCACTGTCCAGGATAACTCTTGAGGACTCCACCAAATAACAGAGTTATTCTAGTAATAAAAAAAATAATAAATTTTATTTATATCCCGCCCTCCCCAGCCGAAGCCGGGCTCAAAGCGGCTAACAACAGTAAAACGATAAAACATTCTAAAATCATTTCATTCTAAAATTAATTCCAGTCAAATTAATGGCAACCATTGGGCTAGAAGTTCTGTGAGGATTGCCAAAGGAGGGAGTCAGGCTGTGCCCTGGCCAAAGGCCTGGTGGAACAGCTTTGTCTTGCAGGCCCTGCGGAAAGATGTATTTTTATTTTATTTTACAAGAGTTCAGATATTCCACACTGCATTTGGTTTGCATAGGTGCTAATATCTTATGTTGCCTTTGGTCCTTTCTGGCAGATTTTTTCCGGAAGTACAATGTTGCAGTGATGACGGTGAGAGAACTCTTTGAATTCGTTACAGATCCATCTATTACAAATGAGAACATGGATGCTTACCTTGAAAAGGTAAAGCTTTAGAGATTTTGCCTCTATGGGAAAGCATTAGGAGGGAAGATAGAGGTTCAGCTTTCCTACAATTCTCTTTTTTATAAATGAATGCTGATTTAGCTATTGTGAATAGCAATGATGTTGTTTTTGCAAAGGTTTCTGCATCCTGCTATAGATACGGAAGTATGATACACATTCACTGCTAATCAAATATGAAGGGTGGAAAAAAGTGTGTCCGTTTTGGTCCTTTCCCACAAACTCATAATGCCTGCATTCTTGGTCTAGTATTCTACACTAATTCTCTAACCTTCCCCAACCTGGTGCCCTCCTGTTATTTTGGACTACAGCTCCAATTATCTCTGACCTGGCTGCTAGTGGTTGGAGCTATATAAGGTTGAAGACTTAACCACTCGATTCAGTCAGTTGCTTATTTGTACTGTATTCTTCTACTCATATGGCATATGGAGTGGCTGTACAACATAAAATGCACAACAGAAGTACAGCATGTACATTAAAAATGCTAATAATAAAGTTTAAAAAAACACAAATGTAATATGAAGACAGCAATAGTCAAACCTTTAAAGGATTATAATTCTTTAATTAGAATAGGTTTTAAGAGGCAATGAAAAGAAGGCACAGAGAATAATGTGTTTCCACAGGACATGTAGTAAGACGTCCAAAGCTGATTTTGAAGCATGGGAAGTTCTGTATCAGATGTGAGAGTTGTTAAGGTAACCAGAACCTGGACAATTTAGAGCTTTGAAGGGCAAAATTAGCAGTTTTAATTGAGCCCAGACGAAACAAGCATCCAGTGAATTTGAGAAAGAATAAAGAGTTTACATGCTCTGGACAAAGGTCTGGCCTGCACGTTTTGGACCAATTCAAATTTCCCATCTGTTTTTAAAGGCAGTCCCTTGTAGAAAGCCTATTCTGGGACAGGGACAGCCCCTCTGGGAGTGGTAGCGGTGACTGAAATAGGAAGAGCTATTTCTTAGGGCTACATAGAAAGCATTTAGGTCTTGGTGGGCTTTGTTGTTGTTTAGTCGTTTAGTCGTGTCCGACTCTTCGTGACCCCATGGACCAGAGCACGCCAGGCACCTCTGTCCTCCACTACCTCCCGCAGTTTGGTCAAACTCATGCTGGTAACCTCGAAAACACTATCCAACCATCTCGTCCTCTGTCGCCCCCTTCTCCTTGTGCCCTCCATCTTTCCCAGCATCAGTGTCTTCTCCAGGGAGTCTTCTCTTCTCATGAGGTGGCCAAAGTACTGGAGCCTCAGCTTCACGATCTGTCCTTCCAGTGAGCACTCGGGGCTGATTTCCTTAAGAATGGATGCGTTTGATCTTCTTGCAGTCCATGGGACTCTCAAGAGTCTCTTCCAGCACCATAATTCAAAAGCATCAATTCTTCGGCGATCAGCCTTCTTTATGGTCCAGCTCTCACTTCCATACATCACTACTGGGAAAACCATGGCTTTAACTATACGGACCTTTGTTGGCAAGGTGACGTCTCTACTTCTCAAGATGCTGTTGGTGGGCTTTAAGTCACTGTTAAAAGTCTTGCATTATATCCTATAGGCAATGGAAATATCGTGTGAGAGGACAGAGGAGGAAAGGTCCAATCAGGATAACGTGGATGAAGAGGTAAGCCAGAGCTTGGATTTCCCCACGTCTTCTGTATCTGTTGTGTCTCTTCTGTGAAATGTTCCTCAGTAATTTGACAATGTTCTGCAGTGTCTTTATTATAAATGTTTTTACAGTATCTAAATGCCCGTGAGATTATTGGCCTTGCAGTCTTTCTCTTTCTATACTTGAGTGTTTCCACCTGTTCCTAAGTGGCCCCTCATGTGGACTACACGATGGCAGTGTTCCCGCATCATGCCAAACCATGGTTTCTCGTGTTGTTGTCTGTATGGCAAAGTGGTTAACACTAACCATGGCTGGTTTCACAAAAGCCAGCATTAACCACAGGGTGGGTCATCAAAACGAACCATACTTTGTGTTACTCACAGTTCTGGGTCCAGATAACACTACAAGCTGTCATTAACTGGAGGTGAAAGCTTCTGAACTCCCCCAGGAGAAGGAGAGGGAATGGGGCACACGAGTCCAGGGTTTGCTGCAGCTTGTGGTAAACCATGGCTTAGCATGATGTGGTAATGTGACCAGTGTAGGAACACAGTGATCACAGATAAGGTTTCTAATCACGCCAGCTGCTAAATGTGTTGACATAATTACAACAATTGCTACTGGCCAAATCTAGGCCATCTGATTTCCATGTTGCTTGTCCACGTAAACATATTCCTGAGAACCAAACTAGACATAATGTAAGAGGTCGACGATTTTTGCTGATCTAGTCATATACTCTTTATTAAAACTTCGGCATTGCAGAACTGAATGAATGTTTGTGGTTATTTCATCTTGTTAGGTGTTCAAGAAAGCGTATATCCCAAGAACTCTGACTGAAGTTAAGAACTACGAGAGGGATGTTGACACAATGATGAAGCTGAAGGAGGAAGAGACGGCCTTAAATGTGCAGCAAGATAATGTAAGTATCCTTGGACTATGTGGAATTTGAGGTTGCACATACTGACCAGAATACCACGATACACTGTAACGATGGTAGCAAGTGTGTAATAAAACTGTTCCTAAAGGAAACCTCTCATTCTTTTCTTCCTCTATGTATAGTACTACAATTATAGCCTCAGTTGGTCTCAGAAATGGTAGATTATTACTATAAAAGGGATGGTCATGATGTAAATACTGGGACAGGATACCTAAGGGACAGCCTCATACTATATATCCCTGCCTCGTAATTGCTGCTCAGATAAGGCACTGCTGAGAGTAGTGTGTGCCCCAGAGTTATGCTTAGTTTGTACTAGAAACTGGGGCTTTTAGCATTCCCGCTGCAGCCCTCTGGAATAAGTTACCAATTGAAATCGGACAAGCGCCTAGCATCTTTACCTTCAGACATCTACTGCAAACGTGTGGTTTTTTTTGTCTATGAAAGCATTCCCTGAAGGGGTGACACAATCATTCTATCAAATATTATTTGTTTCTCTTGTAAAAAGGTTTTTCGTTGTTTGTAGAAATTGCTTTAGTTTTCGTAAAGACTTTGTGATTTTTGTGTCTGTTTTATCTCATTTGGACACTGCTTCAATGGCTTGAGGCTATGAATCAGTTTATAAATCTGTATGCCTGCATGAATAAATGCCTGTATTCACAGAACAGCAGGGTGTTAATGGACACACTGAGTACTTGACGCAGTGATCAGTGCTTTGTGTCAACTGAGCCAATGTAATGTAATGTAATGGGTAGGCTGAGGGACATAGACTGGAGACACCCAACTTCATATTGCTGCTTCCCCAAAAGGCTCATTGAGACGGATTACCAGGATAATATATATGAAGCCCTGGACATTTGAAACATGCTATATAAATGCAAACGTTTATTCCAGGTTTCTTATATTTATTTCCTATGCAGATTCTCTACCAGACTGTGACAGGGTTAAAGAAGGATTTATCAGGTGTCCAGAAGGTAAGTCTGAGATTGTATTCTTCCGTGTGTAAAGATCACTTTGTCTGAAGCTTCTCACAAGATTGAATTTGCATTGTATGTATGTATTAGGTAAATATGGAAATATGGAATGTTTTGTTTCTGTTAGATGAAATATCCTAGTCTATGGAATCATAAGCTTGTGTCAAACATCATACCAAACAGTACACAATCAGCAGATGATGGCTTAGATCTGTTTGTCTGCCTTCATTTTCCCAACCCTCAGCTTCATAAATCCATACTTTCCTCTCCATAGTGCAGCAGCCTCTGGAGGTAGGGCTGTGGTTTGTGATTAGTCACAAATGAGTGACACTGACTAGCAATGGTTTACAAACCCATTTCAAGCCGTAGTTTGTAAATTCAGGCATCTTTCCAAACCATAGCAAACCTCCCTTTCACCATGAATTGGCATGCCATTGTAGAACTGGAAGAAACCTTGTGGGTTATCTAGCCTCTTCCTCTGTAAAAAGCAGGATTCCCTAGTTTGATATTGGAATTGTTCTTCCAAATCTCCAGCTTTTCCTGAGCAGGTTGTACCCTTGCCTAATTAATCTCCGAGTTTAGAAATGGTTACCTAGTATCCATCCTAAGGCCGCTTTGCTGTCACCAGAATCAAATTGCATATTGTCTTTACAGTGACCTTTTAGCTACTAGAACAGTTCTTCTTGTGATGATATACAATACCTAGTTTGCTTGTTCACGTTTATTGCTTGATTACTTTATGCTTGATGATGCAACTGACTTCACAGGGGGGGGGGAATCATTGTGTTTGAGGCAATGTGAGTGGATACAAAAACTTGGCTGTGAGGGTAGATTTGTGATGGTTCATTGATGCTCCATGTGTTCAACCAGCTGTTGAGGCAAGAATAGGGGACCTGAGGCTCTCCAGATGTTGTTGGACTCCCAGTTCCCATCATCCCTGACCATTGGCCATGATGGCTGGGGCTTATGGGAATCGTAGCCCAACAAGCTCTGGAGGGCCACAGATTCTTCATTCCTGGCTTAAGAGTTATCTTAGAGCAGGGTTTCCCAATCATGGGTCTCCAGCTAGTTTTGAAATACAACTCCCATCAATCCTAGCTTGCAGCTGGAGACCCAAGTTTGGGAAACCCTGGCTTAGAGTACCCTTCCCCAATGTAATACTCTCCAGATATTTTAGATTACAATTCCCATCAGCCCCTGCTAGCATGGCTAGGGATAATGAGCGTTTTGGTCCAAAATATCTAGAGGGCTCCAGGTCATTCAGGCTGTATATATATATATTTTCTCTGAGGGAAAAGTACAGCAATTGTATAAATAGGTATGTGAAGAAAGAGAGAGTTCAGCAATGTATATTGACTCCTTTGTGAACTTTCAAAAACAATTAGATTTAAGTGAGAACAAAAAAGAATTATCTAGAATTGTGGTGCGTCCAGTGTTATTTCCTATGGAGCTTTTCTTGACACTTTGAAGTCCAGAACTAGAACGACACAATTATGTTGTCTGCCTTTTAGGTGCCTGCTCTCCTTGAAAACAGAGAGGAGGCAGATTCTGATTCAGAGGACAATGACAGTTCTGACCATTCAGAGTTGGGCTGCAAAGAGCAGGAAGAAGAATCTGTGCATCCTAAAGATCGACCTGCTGAAACCAGCGTGGATAAAAAGGTTAGTTGTTCAGATGCATCCTCCGTGGCAGAGTGTGTGCTTTGTGTGTGCTAAAGATTTCAGGTTCAGTCTTTGGGATCTGTAGCCAGGGCGAGGGAGAAACCTCGTCTTAATGCCTGGAGAGCCATTGCTGAGACAGTACTGGGCTGGATGGGGCCAGTGGCTTTAAAAACCCAATTACGCAGCATTAAAACATAAACATTCATAAATAAAACCTGTAATATTCTATGAGTCCACTTGGTCACTTAGGCCTATTATTCACAATACTCTCTTTTTCCAGGAACGGAAGAAGATAGCCAAAGAGGCTCAGAGAGAGAAGAGGAAAAACAAGACCCCAAAGCACGTGAAGAAACGGAAAGAGAAGACTGCAAAGATGAAAAAGGGCAAATAAATCATGGCTGCCATTTCTAATGGGCAGCTTTAGCCATTCGTGATTTAATGGGTTGCTGTTTTGATATTAAAATAAACCCCATCGGCCACTTATTGTGGTGGCCACCAAAGGAACAATGTGAAAGGGACATACTGTTACCAGTCACCGAGATTTGCTTGTGTACCCGTGCATATAGTCTATAGCTCACACCAGGAAAGTCTTCTTGGTGGATAAATAAAAACAAATGGAATCCTTTTAAGGCAGTTGGCCAGTCCAGAGAAATTTACGCAAGTTGTATTTTGCAGTTTAGTAGTGTGAACAGCCAGAGCGATGCCAGATTCTTTTTTCATGCTCCAAAGCAGATGCACATGCATATGTAAATAATAATAATGTGTATAGGGAGAATGTGCATACTCACGAATTAAAACTGTCTGTTACATTGGAACTGCTGCAGTTTGTCTCGTGCACAGCGATGAAAATTGTCTACCCATTCATCATAATCCACAGTATTGATGGTGTGCTGGAAGAGGGTAGGGAAGGAAAACAGTCAGACTTGGAAAGGTGGTTGATCATCCTCACTCTTGGCTGTGTCTGGATTTGTGTTGGCCTAGAATGGGATGGACTATGGGAAGGAACAGCAGTGCTTATTGCAGTACCTCGTTCCTGTCGTTCATCAGCAAGTGAAGGGTTAGAGATCCTCCTCCTGCCTGACGGGAGAAAACCAGCAGAGCTCTACTAACTGGACAGCTAAATTAAATCCTCGCCTTCTCTTTTGGAGATGTGTCATTTATTTCTCGATTGGCTTGTGACACTTCAGTGACCTTATTCGGACATAACAGTAAGCCAAATTATAGCTTACAGTAGCATAAGCAAATAAGGTGTGCTGATGTAATGAGAAAATCATGGCATCTCCCATTCTCCTGCTGCACTACCAGGAAGTAAGCCATGGTTTGGCTTAGTGTTACATAGGAACTTTTGGTTGGTTTGAGTAAATACCATGAGTTCAGGCTTGAATATAATGCTATGGCAAACCATGGCTTTGCTTCTGATAGCAAGGCAGCTGTACAGGAGGCCAAATGGCCAGCATTTTCTGACTTGATCATTCATGGTGAAGCATTTGTGCTAATCTGGCTTAGCATTATGTACAAACTGGGCCAGTGATACTTGCTTTTGTGTTCCATTCTTCTGTGATAAATTTGTGTCCCTTCGGCTTCCTGGTTGTTAGAAGTACAGCCGTGCCTTGGTTTTCAAACACCTTGGGAGTTGAATGTATTGACTCCCGAACGATCGAAAACCGGAAGTGGTTGTTCTGGTTTTTGAAAGTTCTTTGGAACCTGAATGTGCAGCACGACTTCCGCAGCTTCCGATTGGCTGCAGGAGCTTCATGCAACCAATTGGAAGCTGTGCCTTGGTTCCCGAACGTTTTGGAAGTCGAACAGACTTCCGGAATGGATTCCATTCGACTTCCAAGGTACCACTGTACTTGTTCAAATGGTAATACTTGGAAGAGCAGCTTTTCCCATCTTCAGTGAGAGTGGATACTTGCAGACTGAAGATCTGTGATACGTAAGAGCAATAATCTATTGTGCAAGTGTTACTATTTGTTTTCAAAATATTTGAAATCAGAGTTCAGAGAACAAGCACTGCTATGTTGTTTGGGGCACAATTCTGCAGATGTGCCTACAGTGTTTAGGCTAAACAAACGCAATGCAAACTATAACTTCAGTAGTATATTTATTTGGTTTGGCCTTTTAAGGAGCCAGAGTGCTCAAACAGCTGCACAACAATAATGTTTTATATACCTTATCGATGGTGCCCTTCTGTTTTAAAATAAACCTGAAAATATTCTCTGTATGGGTACTGAGTCTATAATTAGAGGGCTAAATAAATTCATGGGCTAACAGTTGCACTGTGGATTCCAATAACGAATTCAATCCCAAAAAATATTCATTTTTTTAAAAAAAACACCTCTTTGTTTTGCTGTAAAATATGAATAACACTGCAGTTGTGAAGTCAAACAAAATAATTGCTTCTGAGATGAGGGCTGAGTCCAATAACATTAGTTTACACCACTTTTAAAATAAAATATAAATAGCAGAACAGATAGCCCAAAAACCTTTGAATAATGCAAGTACCATCATGGACTAGATTGTTCACATATTCCAGAACAGTTGCAGTGTTTTCAGTGAGACTGTCCTGAAGTAAAATTGATTGTGTTACAGTCTACAGTTTCATGCATATTTGGAGTGATACTCCAATTCATAGGTGCCAGAAGCAAATTTGCAGTCATTTCCCAACAGTAAAAGAAGCTTATCCTTTTAAATGTAGCATTCATTCATCAAAATACTGCATCGTCACCAGCTTCTGCACAAAAAGCTAGCTTTGCTGGCTTTTGAATAAAAATCTAGCATTTGTTTTAATGCTAATGACACACGTGTCAGTGGTCTTAAATCAGTATTTCTCAAACTTGGAGATATACACACACATACTATTTTAGTCTTGGGTGTACTGAGCCTTTTCAGAGAAATGTGCCTCTGTATGATGTACAGCTGACAATTGGTATGCAATTCACCTGCAATCAGCAGAGACTTGCCTTCTGAGCCAGTAATAGATGGTGACAGGACTGTTTATTGCCCTTCTAAATCAGGCTTTTGGAGGAAAAGCACTATTAATTGCAGAGAGCAGAGATAAAAATGTCAGGAGCATCTCTCACTCGGGTTCTTTTGAATACTCGCAGAACTGTGTGTAGAAAAACAAAGCTCAGGTCATGTTCCTGGAATCCACCAGTTCCGTCTTCTAACGTGTGTTTTGCAGAGTGCCATTGATCCTATATACAGTGGTACCTCGGGTTACAGGTGCTTCAGGTTACAGACTCCACCAACCCAGAAATAGTACCTTGGGTTAAGAACTTTGCTTCAGGATGAGAACAGAAATCGCGCGGTGGCAGCGGGAGGCCCCATTAGCTAAAGTGGTACCTCAGGTTAAGAACAGTTTCAGGTTAAGAATGGATCTCCAGAATGAATTAAGTTCTTAACCCAAGGTACCATTGTACTTCCGTGTTGCTAAGCCTCACTTCATTCGATGGGATGTGTGCACTTAATTGTACACAGCGTTGCAACCAGTTTGCATCATTTGAATGTTCAGTCCCCTCTTAGAATTAAACTCTATGTTTTTATTCATTCTTCCTCTTCACCTCAGCAACCACAACTTTTTAACAATGTACCTGATTGCCATAGGCTACAGGGAATGCATTGCAGAGGAGTACAGTGGTACCTCGGGTTAAGAACTTAATTCGTTCTGGAGGTCCGTTCTTAACCTGAAACTTCTTAACCTCAGGTACCACTTTAGCTAATGGGGCCTCGCGCTCCCGCTGCTCAATTTCTGTTCCCATCCTGAGGTAAAGTTCTTAACCCGAGGTACTATTTCTGGGTTAGCGGAGTCTGTAACCTGAAGCGTCTATAACCCGAGGTACCACTGTATAGGAATGTCCTAGATAAGTAGGTCTGGTGGAAGAGGAGTAGTTCTCTCTATCCCACTTCAGGAAAACTGCCTGATTTGTATGTTGGCCATGGAGGGAGTATAAAGTTCCCTCCAACCAGGCTGACATAGAAATACTGTGGGCAAAGAAAAGGGGTGGTTTGCTGTTTTTCTCTGCCAGCCTGCTTTGCGTTTCCGCACTGGAGAAACAGAAAGTTTCCTCAGCTGCCGGCACAGAAACCAAGCCTGCTGCTGCTGCAGGAGGAGGAACAGAGCAAGCTGTTCCTTTGCTGCAGCCAAGCACAAAAACTGGGCTAGCGAATGAGGGGGAAAGTGACCCACCCCTCCAAGCCATGCTTGGGAGAAGACATTTTAATTCTCAGCTATACTTTTCACAGCCTCTAGAGGGAGCCTCAACTTCAACCTCATAGGACAAAAAGGAGTAGAAATAGATACGTACTGAGATTAGTAAGTTTTTTGAAAAATAATATATAAAAAGGTACCAAATAAGGAGGGCATAAAAGATGGTTGCTTTTAATGTAAATAACATTTGACGTGGCACGTCCTTTGTAGAAAGAAAGGAAAAGAATATATAACCATTTGCCCCACCATATTTGATAGGGCTTACTCCCTAGTGTGTTTTAAGATTTCAGGCTTAGTATTTTGTTTTCTTTTTTATTTTATTTTTCTTGATTACAGTTTCCTTATTAATTAGTACAGTATCCGCTACTACTAATCTAACAGCAGGATTCAATAGCTATTTTATTCGGCCTTCGCCCAGAATTGTTGCCTCTACTTCCAAGAGCCCTGAGGTACCATAACAAGATGGCGGCTGTGTTGCCTCATGCTCTGCATCTTCGCTAATCCCCTTGCCTGCATTTCTTTGCTCTCCTGATGTGGCTGACATGATTCTCTATTGTTTACTGGGTAGGCCAGGCTTTAAATCAGACAAAAGTTTCAACACCTTCCAGCATTAGAGTCTGGGGTCCTGCGACAGCTATCCTCTTGTGTCACATGGCCCAGCTCCAAAACGGCTGAAGGCAACTTAAACAACTTAGGCCAGTTCACGTACGGTATTTCTCCATGTTGCCATGCAAGCAACAGTGTGCCCACCAGTGCCTACAAAAAGGGCTCACTAAATAGCCCCTTGGTCACTCACAACGTATGGGAGACTGTTTGCTTTTTCTG